TAGGGTGTGCATGCACGCACTAATACGCAAAATTTGACCAATTGTAACACGCAATGCACAAATGTGTGTAACCGGCATAACGAATTGCATACATCTCGTCCATTTGACTTACAATTTTTAATTTTAAGTTAAAATTAGCAAAAACGAATTTTTTTAACATTTTATATTCTAATGTTATTCACACTTTAAACATAATGTATGTTTATATACTCAGAAGTGGTAACAATGTTTGTGTCGCAGTGTATCAACACACACACATACAAATCACAAACAGTGTGTTGCTGCGTTTGTGTCCACAACATCCACACACCACACCATACACCCACTATGGTTGGACAATAACAGATGATCGAACTGTCGCTCCTCTCTATAATGAGGTGATAATGAGCCCAGGGCTAATCTGAACCAATGATCGGCTTGTTATAATGTGTTATGCGGACGCTCGCCGCGGCCAGTACGACGACGGCGCTACAGCAAACCAACAGGTAACACACCGCTCCAACCGATCCCCAAACACAAGTGCACACAACATCAACCAATATCTACTTATATTACAAACAAACTAATAAAAAATCACCATACCCACTTCAATAAACCACATTAAAAAGTGTCGGTCTATGTAAGTTGAAAATAAATTAAATAATATCAACACGTGATATTCGCAATTCGATTCGGTAGATGTGAGTGTGTAGTCCACGTGCGATGAACAAAGTGTGTATGATGCGATATGGACAAAAAGTAGTGCGTCTGTGTAAGTGCTGCAAATGGCCGCTACCGCCGCCTACGCAATATGCATCATGTGCAACGTAAGTTATTTTCTGTTTATGCGCACTCGCAATGTTTACGCGCCGAGAAGTCATCGCATCGCATCGCATCGCGGTGAAAAGTAAATGAAAGCGTACACATGATTGACACGCGTGTAGTACCTTTGCATGTGTATGAGTATGTGGGGGTGGTTGTGTGTTGATTGATGGATTGATCTAAGAACGTTATGTTTGGTGTCGTTGCGCGACGGTTTGATTTTCATTTTTTCCACGTGAAATTTTAGCGCAATCCGCAGCTCACAGCATTTTCTAAAATATATACAGGGTGTTTATAGATTTTTTTAATTAAAAAATATTAAATTTAAATTATTAAGAGATTTAAAGTAAAATTTGTGATTTTGTGTTTTTTTAAAATTTTTTGGGGGTTTTGAGGTTTTATTTTAGGGGGAAACACTCAGTGTATGGTGCGGAACGACAAGCGTAGAGAGAAATATGTAGGAGAGTTCGTTCGTCGATATGGGCGCGTTTAAAACGTCAGTGTCAGCGACGGTAATGCGCGCGATTAAAGTGAAATATAAGGACTGCGGGATTACGGGGCGCCCCCCGAATCGAGCGAGCGAGCTCGCACACACGCATCGCAACCGGGCTGTGTGGGTACGGGCGGGCCCCCCCGGTAATCAATCAATTTTGATGATGAAAAATTATCATTCCGATGCTTTATTCATAATTCTATGGGAAAACCTATCGGACTATCGACGGCGCGGCGCGGTCGCACGCACAAAGCCCGTCGCCCACATCTAGCCTCCCCCCGACTACATACCTGCCTGCCGCCACCATCATGCCACACACAACACACACATATACACAAATACACACACGCCAGGACGAAATGAAACGCGGAATTGGAATGAAAAAGCCGCGAACGGCCAGAAAATAAGCAAACAAACAAACACGACGCGAACGCAAACGCTAATACCGTACGCACACGCGGGCACGCAGATTTCGTCCATTTTATTAAACACGCGCTGCGCCGGGGCAAGCGCACGCTGCTGTCAAAATGGTGAAGCGCTCGGCAAAAGCAGTGTTTACTTTGCGCGTTTCGGCTATTTTTAATGCTTGGAACCTGCTGACAAATTTGTAATTATGCTGAGCGGAGCGCAAAGGTGTGTGCGTGTGGATATAGAAAATGCGTGATACACAAAAACGCGTTGGGAAAGGTTGCGTCGCAAATTTATATAACATGCGCCGAAGAAAAACACTGACCGTGAAAATAAAAACCCGCGCTGCTGCGAGCATCAGGTCGCGACCTACCTCAAACTTTGCGGTCGGTTTGCACAACCCGCCAGGGTTTAAAATTAGATATCACGTGTCTACCCTTTTTTTTCTACCCGATTATACAATGTGCAATCAAAAGAACACGAATAAAAATATTTCTTATTTAATTTATTTTTATGTGTGAATAAGTGAAGAGGAAAACAATACGCTGACGCGTCTTTGGTGGCGTCGTGGGCGGGTGGCGTATACGCGCTAGGCCGAGTCCACGTGACCGGCGCCTCCACCAATGGTGGAAGCGCCGGCTGGCGACGCGTATCGACTTTTAGCGCGCGCGGGGCCCGCCGCCGCTGCCGCACGCTTGCAGGCGCGCCGCATGTCTATGCCGCCGTCTTCGTTTTCGTGGCGCTTTTATTTTCTCTTGCTTCGAACCGCGCGCGCCGGCGCCCCGCCAAAATATGGAATTATGGACCTAGTTTTAATAGGTTTTGTTTAAATTATTCAGGGACTGCTTACATTAGGACCGAAGCTCCCCCGGGGGCGGGTGGTGCGCGCGCGCTGCATATTCTGCAAATATCTGGAGAAAACCGTTAGACGATGTCTAAAGCAGCAGCCGCAGCAGGAGATAGAGATAGATTCCGAGCACACGGAAATTATCTTTCAACGTTACATATTAAATTCTCTCCGCGGCGCTACGTTGACGTTTGTGTGTGCAGGCGGCCAGCTTATGCACGAAGTATATACTTAAATTATTACTCGGTCGAGTTGCTTGCCCGTGTTTAATGTTAGTTCCGCTGCCTGGCAGCCAAAGTCGTTTCTTTCCTCTTTCCCTCCTCACTGCTATCCTTCGACCCGTTTTCTCATTTGGTCGCTTTCCCCTAATGGCTTGGAGCCTTTCTGGCTTGAGCTTAATTTTGTTTGAAATTACGTTCAAATTGAATTTTCTTCCTCGTGCTTTCTTTCTGCGTCGAGTTGTGACCTCTTAATGGTTTATTTTATAATTAACATTTGCGTGCCAAGCGCGAGGCTTGGATAATATTAGAATATATACCTGTGCACATAGATTCAACATTTGATACAATTGAATATCAGTGAAATAACAAGTGAATGTTATTTCACATCGTTTCGTTCCATATCATTTCATCCATACTCTTATTGTTATTGTATTTCTTGGAGTGTGTTGTGCATGGTGCGCATGAATAATTCAGGCGTTTGGTTGGCGAAAATCATGATGGCTTTCTGTGCATTTGGGCGATAAGGTTTGTTTGATGGCGACTTTGGTTTGCAAGCGCAGACGACGGCAGTGTTCTTGCTCGCGTGAGCGTGACAGTCCTCATGAATTTGAAGGGAACAAAACCCACCAAGGAGGGTGGTTTGATAAACTAAGGGGGTGGCATGTTCACCCCTTATATATTCCCTTCAAACCCTTCTAAAATTTTGCCAAATGTGAACGGCCTTCTGCCAAAGCAAATATTTTTTCTTATTTTTTATCCTTCAACTTTCATTCTTTATTCTTTGCAGAAACAAAAAATATTTTCTGAACACATTGTATATCAGTTTAGATTTCCACTATAGTAGATGTCTAAATCTCTGTAGATGTTTGATGTTGGCGAAGCGCTCATGTTAAATTCCATACCAAGCTCCTTTTACCCATGCATCTTGCTCGCAAGCACGCAACCCAACTCACACCTATAACTGTAGATGGGCAACCCTCCTCACTACAATCTCGCCAGCGTCCTTTCGCTTTGCCAATGCGGCCAGCGCTCGGTCTCTTTGTGCTGTGCTTGGAGATATCGGGCGCGGCGCGTAAGGATAAGGAAGAGGACGTCGAGAAGGATGCATGCACAACGTAGGTACTTTGGCAGGCAAACACTGCCGATGTTGGGCGAGGAGCAAATTTTATCGGCCACCCTTTTCAACTCTTCCTCTCCGCATGTTCTCCAACAAACTCCTAAACCTCTTTCACCCTCCGCACGCTCATCGTGCTCTCTTATTTCGCACTCCTCCTTCTTCGGCGTTGGCATTTCAAGCGGGCGGCCGCCACGAAATTCTATGCCTTGATAATTAAAACTTTGTGAATTCCGTTGATGTACTTCGGAACCCGGCGCCCGGGCGCGCATAAAGGAAAATTAAATACATAAATAATGTACACACTATATAGATATAGACTATATAGACTCTTTGCATCTATACATCGCCGTCATGTAAAATATAATTCGAACCCACGCCGCGTGCTTGGGATCCGCGCGACCCAAAAGTGAAAAGCGCTTTTCTATGCGATATTTTGTATTGTCTCGGGAATGAACCTTTCTATTTGCGCGCGGAGGATCTAAAAGCTACCTCTCATACCCAACACACATACATTCATACAAAATACAAGTCGATAAAACGTTCATTATCTAAGAACGCATTTCATATTCCTTTCTTTTGTTACCACAGCTTCTGTACCATGAGTAAAACTCCAAGGAAACAAAAACTAATAGCATAATGATTCGCGTGAGACCTTGGTTTAACCGTCTTGGACACAAGCATAAAATTTGAATAAATTTTGATTACAAATCTACGCACATCTCATTTAAATATAAAAAGAACTGAATCAACCTGTGCGCGATTCACACGCTCATCCTCCTTGCATGCACAAAGTCGCGCATATTTTAATTTCAATATAAAAAGCGATTTCCCCAAATAATTCACCCCTTAATAGCTGGACACGTAAGTGACCATCAGTATTCTATACAAAATTGTATTCAACGTAAGAAAGATAAAGAAAGGGATGCTGCCGAAGCTTAAGAACCGGTTATCTCAGCTTATTCTTTCGTAACCCACTCTTATAAAATTAGAACGAGACATTCAATATGCCAAGCCAAAAAAGAAATACACGAGATGAATCGAGCGAAGTGAGGGAAGACGTCCGTGAAGAAATGACCATCGCGACTTGAAATCAGTTGCGTCGCGAGACTGATCTTGAGCTATTGCATATTTACAATATTTGATACAGTTTTTTATAGTGTATATTAATGTTTTTCGGTATATTGGTGCAATATTGATTAATTATTAATACGTAAATATTACGGCGAAATTATTGCAATAATCGCGAACGTGTCGCGTTTTATTCGCGCGATTTATTTTAATAATGAACATGTGAAATATATTGTGAAATTGTGTATAAAATGTGTTGCATGCGCAAAATAATAAAAGAGAAAGTGATTTGTTAATAATTGTGTCAATTTGTGAAAATGAAAATTGTGTCTGATTGCGTAGATAATTTGCAATAATGTGGTAAAAGTGTTTTTAATACACAAGTGCCGGGATAACCTTGGGGATAAATATTATTTGATAATATTTCTTAATATTTAAATAATCGGTATGTATATTAATACCTATATATTGCAAAACTTTAATTAAACTGATTTTTCTATTGCAAAAATGCAAAAATATTATTTTTAAGACTTTTCGAAGTAAAATTTATTTTCTTTGATAAAATCTAGGCAAAGTTAATTGCAGAATCTAAATATTTGAAAGATTAATTCATAAAAATTCGCAAAAGAAACTTTTAAACAAGTTTTCGCATTTTTTTGCAAAAATTTTGCATTTTTTCACTTTAATTGCTAATTATACGTTATACGATAATCTGATCTAGATTTTTTTACTTAATTAGACATACAATTAAGCGTATAATCCAGTTTTAAAGGAATTAAAACTTTAACCCAAATATTTTTGCCATAATCAATTAATATATAAACTTTTCACCCTATATACTACACCTACTCTATCTACTATATCTACTACGTGATAAAAATATCCAAAACACAAAAAATGCCTTCCAGGTTTCATATTTATATTTTTAAAACAAAATTTAAATACCTGCTAAACACCTTCTCGGTTTCGTCTTGCTGGAAGTCGTGTTGTGTGTGGTGTGTACGGCGGTCTGTTTTCCTGGTCCTGCAAAAACACGAAATAAACATATAAGTATACTAAAGCTCATGAAAAAGATGGAAAGCTAAAAATTAATAATTATGTTGTTTACGTTTCCTGCATAAATATCCAGCTCGCAGGAGCCGCAAAGTATGCGCACACTTGTGTTCTTGCGTGTTCCGTATACGTATATGTGTACCGAGTTAATTTCGCCGAATAACAAAATAACCCAACACCTGAAGAACAAACACGCCAGCTGGCGACCGAACATAAAACAGCAACAAGCGCAAAAGTTGTATTCGCCATTCAACGAAAGAATAAAAGTAGAAAACATTATTCTGCGCTATATTTACGCTACGTATTTAATCATACAAAAATGTCACGTGGAAGAAAATAATTTAAACTGTAATTTCATTCAAAAGAAGAAAATTTTTCATGAAAAAAATTTTCTTAAATTTTTTTTCTTGACTTTATTTTTCGTGTGTTTCGAATAGCAGTAGTATTGAAATAAAGCGAGCCAGAACAAAATGGACGCTCACTCGGCGTGGGCCTGATGGGCGTCGCGACGCTCACGCAAGAGAGAATAAGGGCACATACGCGACGGCGGTTCTCCGACACGCGGCGCTGATCAATAATGAACACTGCCGTTCGCCATGGAGCCCGACCGCCGCTCAACGTCGGCGACGAATGTCTACGACGATAATAATGAAGGAAAGTGCTTTGACTAGAAATTTCCTTCTATTATTTATAAAATTTAACTAAATCCGCAAAACACTCAAAATGAAATAATAATAGGAAAAATCCATTACTTAAACATTAAAACATAAAAGAAGAGAAAAAAACTTAACAAAAAAAAAAACATCAATTCATCTAGTTATAGATGGAGTCCCGTAGTGGGCTTGGAAAATCGACGCGTCATTATAAATGCACAAAAGTACGTGCCGCTGACGTTTCGGGGCACTAATAGCCTATCAGCTTTTTTTCGGGCGCAGCCTCACACTTTCCTCTCACGTTTCTCGCGTCCGCCCGGCGATGTGATGCGATGCGATGTCGATGATGATGATTTTTACGCGCGGCATGCTCGCGCGTCCCGTACATAAATCATAAATTTTCCGGTACGCTGATGACCGACGACTCCGCCAGCAACACACTGACGCGTCGTGCCTAGGAATAGGTTTGATCGGTCTGTGATCGCCATGTGATCGGTTTTCGCCATCAATTCCATCAAACACACACAACCCACACTCAGAAATAAAAAAATAACGCAATAAAAAATAAAATAAAAAATAAACAAAATCAAGAGTTATTGGTCACATTGTCAGTTCTTTGAACCCGATTAAATCGGATTCAGAACTGCAGCGCTCTCGTTCCATTCATAAGTTATTAATCGATCCGACCTTGACATTTTTTCCGAACGGGAACGCTCACACTTTCATACCCCTCCTCGGTCAGAGAGCTGTGGTGAGCGTGGAAAGCGTCGAACTGCGTGTGTGTGTGTTGAATTTTTTTTCCTGTTCGGTTGGTTCGATTCCAAATGCATCGCGCGCGCATGTTTCAAGTTCGGCGTTCGCGAACCCGTCCTTCGCCAACACAGCACACAATGCTCGCGGACAAAAAAATGGAGAGGAAAAGTGTGAAAAAATAACAACGGCCAACAACGTGATGAAAAATAATACTGATTGACACTGAAATTCTTTTCTATATCAAACAAACACGTCGCGAAAAAAAATTTTGTAACAAAAAAAAAGTTGTAATACTTAATTGTTGTGTGCCTTAAAAATTAGCCGCGCGCGCAGGTTATTTCATTTGGATTACGCAAATAATCAACACAAAAGAAATTTGCACTTCTTTGTGGAGTCGGGCGGGCGCTCGCGCAGATATGGGCTTTAGTGAACTCGGTGAACTTTGTGCTCGTTTGTTTCTTTTATTGTTTGTCTGCGCGCGCGGTGTTATTTTAGATTTGTGCATTTGAAATTTGCAAATTGGATTCGTACTGTTTGAAGTGAGCGATACACTTGCTTTTATCGTTCTTGCAGGTTGTTCTTTGGAATCGTTTGCGTTTTGTTTTATTTTTCATTCTGGGTGCGCGCACAGAATTAAAAATTATATCTTTGTGAGTTTGTTGATTCCCGCTTTTTTTTGCGCATTTTCAGCGTATCGGGGCATCAGCATATCATCAAAAATGACGTTGATGATGAAAGGGGTTGTTGCCGTGGCGTATGCACGTTGTGTTTTTGTATTTTCGGGCGTTGTTTTTGTCTGCGCGGCGGCTTTTAATGCCAACACGCGCGCGCGTCGTTTGTCTGTGCGGATTTACTCTCCAAACGCAAAGAACTCGTCACGATTTGTTCGAAAATTGACATTACGCAAATGTATTCCTTTTTATGCAACCATCAAAAAAAGATACAATAAGAAGTAGAAAGGGTGGTGAGTGATTGTCAAACTAAAATTATGAACCTTTATCAACGTTTTTCCAACGATGCAACTAATGCTACTCACGCTGATGATAATAATAATAAACGCCAAGGGTGCAAAAAATGTGGAATGCATAGACAACGAGCGGTCCTCCCCGGCTGGGTCCTAGACTTTTGCATAAACAGGCCGGGTAGCGCAGGCACGAAATTTCGTCGAATTTGCATGGCGTAATGAAACCGCCGCGTATCGCCTTTCCTCTCTTTCGGGCCAAAAAGAGGTCGTAGGTGCAAAGAGGACGGTGCCCGATGTAGCAGTGCCTCGGTAATCCGACCTACGGGCAACTGCGCACAGCCACCACACACATGTAGGCAGAGATAGCCGACGCAATAGGAAAAAACATGTGTCAGACGAACCTGGAAACATGCATGTTTCATGCGGGGTGGCTCCCCACGCTGGGGTCGCGGGTGCTGGCGGGGGGAGTGGCACCTTGGGGAACGAGGCAAGGAGGAGGGACTCAAGTTGCAGGCGCGGACGAAAGTGGAAGAGAGCACGCAAGTCATAGGAAAAAAAGAAGCAAGTGGGGGAAATACAGGACTGCACGTTCGGCACGTAGCGGCAAAGATGGAAGGGAGAGCGAGACTCGTCCACAGGGCACGTAGTGGCAATGATGAGGATGAGGCGCAAAGCGGGCACGAAGAGGAAGCACCGTGCGAAAGGGGACGACGAAGAAGCGGCCCGCGCGCGATAAGACAAAAAGAGATATAAATACAGCATGCGCGTACTGTTTTGCATGGACCGACCGGCAGCAGGACCCTTGTGTGCCCGACACGAGAGCGGACGAAACGGACGAAACCTGCGAATCGATCCTTGGACGAGCAAAATGGCTTCGCACACGCACACAGCGACGTGGAAAACCCAGCTGGAAAACGGCGTTAAGGACGCACGCCGCACCGCCCGTCCATTGCAAATTCAACCCTAAAAACGTAGCGGATAAAGGCTGCACATTGCCGCCGCCGCCGATGCTGCCTCGGCCGGCACACAGCTCTCCAGTGTGTGCTCGTAGAGCGGGAGCCGACTCGAATCTGGAAAAATCGGCTCGAGCACTGAGCACCACACCGCCGCCACCAACGCCACCGGGCAACGGCAGCAGTACAAAGGTGGGGCCGGCAAGGCGCATATTCGCCTGCCGTCGCCGCATGCTCGCCGTGCGTTTTTCCTGCTCAAACAGACCTAAACGTTCTCCGCCAGCGGGAAGGGTGAGCGACGCGGGGTTGGAAAAACTATCAAAGCCAAAACCCGCGCCCGCCGCCACTGTCGAAAAATGTGCGTACTTTGACGTGAATTAATGTGCGTTGCGTACATTCAACTATTCTACTATAATTTCACGAAACAAAAAAAAACGCCGCGTTTTTTGATCGCCAAAAAATTAAAATTAAATTAAATTAATTTAAAAAACACCCGGAAAAAATCAACAAATGATTTAATTATCCATTTGTAAGTTAAGAGCATCCAACCACCGAAGCACTAATGAGCACTTCATCAGCATCGACTTGTTCCGATGATTAGTCCTTTTCAGTTTCCGTTGTGGCGCTGTTGCCGTGTCTCCTTCACGTTTCGTTCGCATATATCCACCAACCACCACTTCAATTTCATATAATTTCACGCGCATGCTGCCCACTCAAGCAATACGGTAATTACTTTTAATTAGACGCCTTTAAGCGCCATAATTAAACAACTTATACACATGCACAGAAAATAATAATAAAAAAAGCGCAACTTCTCACAATATCTGCGAATGCATGCAAGCGACAAACGAAAACTATTAATATCATAACGAATGGCTTGTAATGAATCATTCGGCGCAATACGAAACTTATTACTTTAAATGCGCAGCGTGTGCCAGAGTGAGAAAAGCGGGCAAGTTGTAAAATGTTCGCGCATTGAATCTAATGAGTTAGACGCGCGTTTATTCATCGCCCAGCGCGCTTTATAATAATATTTCTAGTCGTATAAGAGTTGGTAATTGTTAACAAC